GTAAGCTTGGTTTGAACCTCAAGGTCAGTGGTTCAAATTCACCCACCGCTCGGAAACCCTATACAAGGTAGCTATCCCTCAAGCCAACTCGATGGCACTTAGCAGCAACAAAAACAACAACCTTACTACGGAGTCCTGATACTAGTGCTGTAGCATAAGCACTGGACTGCAAGGTCGATTTGAACTACAAGGTCGGGGGTTTCAAACTCACAAGCTGCCCCTCGGAAACCCTATACAGGGTCACGATGAGTCAGAGCCAAGTCAACAGCACTTTACAGCAAACCACCTCCTCACTACACATCACAAAAGCTTTTGAATTCAATACTGATTTTCAGTTTCTTTCATTTCTACCCAATTCTTTTGTCATCACTCTTACACTTATCTCCTCACTGGTCTCTCTTCCTTTCTTATCACCGTCCTTCCATTCTTTAAGGAGCCCTGGTAGCACAGTAGTTAAGCACTCAACTGCTAATGAACAAGGCAGCCACACCAGGGCTCCAAACAAAGAAACCAACCGGGAGCCCAACAGCAGCTCCAAAGGAGAAAGAGCATCCTGTTTCCATAAAGATTAGTCTTAGAAACTCTGTCCTAAAGGGTCACTAGGAATCAGAAACAACTTAAATGCACCCAATAACAACATCAGTCCCTTCTCTACACAATAGCCAGTGACCACCTTAAATTGAAAGCTGATATTATTCTCTTGTAAGAAAAAGTCCTCCTGGATACCCAAATGGGGAGGAGGTACTACAAAGGCAAGAAGTGACTGGCTTACAAGCTTTCAAGAAGGAACCTAGAGCATGGAGGAAGGCAGAATCTCCAGTGAGTACTATCCAATCTGTCTAGGCGGAGCTGATGAAATGAAATACAGATGGGTAACTCGTGATACTGTAGTGAATGATGGTTATCAGGACTGATTATGAGGGTTGGAAGTGCAAAAGTAGACATTTTATAGCAAGGAAGGGCGTGATTATTTCTCCAGTCTAGGAGCAGAGGTCTCTAAGACCATCAGTGGAGGAGAGCCGAGAGCGGGACCCTACCCAGAGAACCATAGATGCCTGAGATGGAGACAGAGATGATGACGTGGAGTGATGAAGCAGCTGGGGACTTTGGATCCAGAGAGGGAGCGGGCCCCTGGGCCGAAGACTGGGAGTGGCGGGGGGGGGGAGAAGGAGGGCAGGAGGCGGGTTGGAACCATGGCAATGAAATGATATACGACGGAATGAATGTAAAACTAAAGTTCTCTCATGTAAACTATCATATAATTCACAATAAAACATAAAAAAGAAAAGAAAAAGTCCTCCAACAGAGTCCTTGCCATGACCTAAAAGGCTTGGAATGATCGGAGCTCTGGCTCACCTTCCTAATCTTATCTTCTACTATTCTCTCCCAGTCTTCTGATGCTGAAGCTACACTGGACTTCTTTTATTTCCTGAAAGTGAAATGAAGATTTTTTTTTATTTTATTTTTTTAATTATTGTAAACTAAAACACTAAGATCACCCTGGGGCATTTTGGAATACAGGTCTGATGCTCTGCTACTGAAAAGGTCACAACCTTGAAAACACACCCTGTGGAGCAGTTCTCTGCACATGTGGGGTTACCACAACAACAAGAATAAAACACCCAAAAGAGGGATACTTCTAGAGAATGACAGTGCTGTTAAGGTCAACCCTCAGTGGATAGTAGAAACAGGACTTCACACTAGTTCTTTCCACTTCAGTCATGACTTAACAGAGTGAAACTGATTCTGGAAGGAACCAGAAATTGTAAAATGTGGGTATACCACAACAATAAACAGAACAGGGAAAATTATGGGTCAACGCCATGTTAAAAACTCCCTCTTTGAATACAAGGGTATCATGCCTGTTACAAGGTAGGGCCCCATACAAATGTCTTGACCAGCAGAGGTGCAAACAATGGTGCCAAAAATCAAGAACGGTGGAGAGTGTGCTGCTCTGAATGTATGTTGCTTTCCACAGTCCTGGCAATAATCCAATTTCCAGCTTCAGTCTCCTACACCTCTTCCAAAGCTTCACGCTGTAATCATTTCTATTCTGGTTATTTTTCCGGTACACCCACATTTTACAAATTTGAGTCTGTTCTAATTTCACTGCACTGGCCATGACTGAACTGGTTCCAAGTTGTTCGAAGTGCTGGGTTGAAAGAATATAGTTCTTGGGTAGGTTGACTTGAGGGAGGGTAGGTCAACTAAGTGGAGACAAACACCTGGCTCAGTGCTTACAAATTACAGTGGATGATGTGAACTACTTAGGGAGACTATACAAAAAAACAAACAAACAGCTGTTCTCAATACAGAGATGAACCAACTCAAGCCGTTATACACTCTATCCCCCTTTGTTCACATATTAAGTTCGTGACTCGCCAGGGCCCCTGACTTCTGACATGATGGATCCAACTTTGTTGCTGTTGTTGTTGTTAGGTGTTGTAAAGTCAGTACTGACTCATAGGAACCTTAAGTACAACAGAACAAACCACTTCCCAGTCTGGTGACAATCTCACCATCGTTGATATGCTTGAGCCCATTGCTGCTGTCACTGTGCCAATTCATTTCATTGGGGGACTTCCTCTTTTTAGCTGACCTTCCACCTTACCAAGCAAGATGTCCTTGTCCAGGGATTGGTCCTTCCTGGTAGTATATCCAAAGTATGAGAAACGAAGTCTGGCCATCCTGACTTCTAAGAAGCATTCTGGCTGTACTTCAACACAGATTTATTTGTTCTTCTGGCAGTCCATGGTACATTTTATATTCTCCTCCAACTCCTTATTCATTATCCAACTTTCACATGCATATGTCATTGTTGTTGTTGTTAAGTGTCACAAGTCGGTTTCGACTCATAGCAACCCTGTATAAAATAGGGTTTCCAAGGAGCGACTGATGACTGTGAACCACCAATCTTGTAGTTCAAACCAACCTTGAGGTCCAATGCTTTAACCCACAGGACTATACCACTCCATGAATATGAGGCCAGTGAAAATACCATGGCTTGAGTCAGGTGCACCTTACTACTCAAACTACCATCTTTGCTCTTCAACACTTGTGTGTGCAGCAGATGTGCCTAATGCAATACGTCGTTTGATTTCTTGACTGCTACTTCCACAAATGATGATGGTTGATCTGAGCAAAATGACGTCTT